ATTTTAATTAATTGAATTGCTTTTTCTGACAAATATAATAAACTTTTAAACTATCTTTAATATAGTAGGTTTATCATGTAATGCTTCATTTTTTAAGCAGTGAGATGAATTAAAAACAATACTTGAGAGAAATTGCATTGCATCCAAAATTAGTATTCCTAAAGTAAAGTTTCTAATTTACTTTTGTATTTGTCATTATTGAGGATTTAATTACTTATAATTAGAAAGGAAAAAAAAAAACAAACAAAGCTTTAATGGAATCATCCTATGCTGAAAGTGCATTTTGTGGCTTGTGTCAATTATGATTTATTATACTGGCTTGCTTTTGCTTCTGAGAAAACTGAAGAGCATGCCAAATATGGCAATAAATCAGTGTGGGGGATTGGGCAATCATTGCAATTTCAAAAGGCTTTATATGTTCTGTATCAACATATAGAATATCTCACAAAGTGAGAAAATAAGTCATTATGCCATAATTTAGTGCTACTTTATGTCTTTAAACAAAAAATTTGTATGTATGTGATTTTTTATTACTAAAGTAGAAATATAAGACTCTTGAAAGTATTATAATATAAAGAGAGGAGATGTTGTTTATGATTTTATACACAGATCAAAGGAAATGTAAATTATCCCCTGAGACAAGAGAGCAATTGTTTTGTCCCAATTTCTTCATAGATCTACAGGCTGAAAAGACTCCCCTGCATGGAATGATACCAATCAAAACTAGGGGCAGGAAGGATGGTGGAAGTTTGGGGAACCCTCCTTCTGAATGGAGTTAAAGTGGAGAAAAAGTTCTGAAATATTTTGTAAAAAAAATGAGAATAAGTTTTGAAATCTTCTGTAAAAATAGCTTACCATCTGTATTAGCTATCTTTTGCTGCATAACAAATTACCCCAAAGCTTAACAGCTTAAGACAAGTAACATATTATCTCTCATAGTTTCTGAGGATTAAGAATCCAGGTGCAGTTTACTGGGTGGTTCTGGCTCAGGGTCTTTCACGACATTGCAGTCAAGCTGTTGGCTGTCATTCCAGTGTGAGGATTTGAATGCAGCTGAAGTATCTGCTTCCAAGTTCACTCACATAGCTGTTGGCAGGAAGCTTCAGTTTTTCACCATGTGCCACTCATGACATAGCTTCCAACAGTGCAAGTGATCCAAGATGTATAGTGTAGTATAAACTACCCTGAGAGTGGCACACCTTCTTGACTGTAGTCCGTTGGTGTCACATAGACCAACTCTGGTGTAATGTGGAATGTGACTGACTACACAAGGATGTAAGTACTAGGAGCCAAACCACATTGGGAGTCATCTTGGAAAGTGGCTACCACACTGTCCTTCATTCAGCTATTTTGTTTCTGCATTCATTCATTTGTAAACATTCATTAAGCCTCTTTTAAGTGCCAGGAACTGTGTTAGATCCTGGAGATACAATAACCAAAATAGACATAGTTTCTACACTCATGGAGACAAAGAAGTACTATACATTTACAGTGATTAAAGCTATGTTAAAGAAGCCCACAGACTATCTCATAAATTCCCATAGTATTTTGTTATTTCCTCAACGTAGCTCTGGTGCTCATTTGACTCCAGGAGTGTAGGGAACATTCTTACGTTAACTAATAGCACATCTCCTCTTCTCTGATGATTTTCATTTCCATTCCACCTTACTATATACTCCATGTAGACCATGGAATTTTTCATCTAAAGCCTCTTCATATCCAAAAGCACTAATTTAATTAATCAATTATGTAATCACAACCGATACTGCCAACTCCCTTGTGTAACTAATTGTATTAGGATTGTGCTTTAGCACTATTATGATTTTTAGTCTATTTATCCCACTATATTTCCAAATGTAACCCTCACTGCACCCTCTCTGTCTTCTATCTCTCTTCATTTAGTGGAGGAAAACCACTGCTCTGTTGCTATCAAAGACTAATACCTCTATGTACACATGGATCACACCCTCAATCTAGGTCCTTATCACATCAGTTCTCATTTAGCTTTTTCATTTCTTTCACCTGATGCTTTTTCTGAAATGTTTTGAATGGCATGTTATAAATTTGTATCTCTACCCTATTTCCTCTGCCTTCCAAAAGTCTGCTTTAACTATCTGCCTGGATGTTCCATGGGTATCTCACACTGAGCTTCTGATCTTATTCCCTATGACCTGCCCTCCTCCATTAGTCCTCATTTGAGTACGTGCATCTACCAGCTACCTAGTTCCTCACTCCAAAAGACAGAGTCTTCTTTGAGACCACACTCCTCCTTAGCCCCCAACTCTCATTAATCTCTCCCCAACATATCTTAAATACATTCTCACCATCTCTATTAATACTGCCCTAGGTTACTTCTCACTGACTGCTATAAGAGCTTTTTACTTGCTTTCCACATTCATTATTTTCCTACCTAAATGATTCTCTGAAAACTAAGCTTCAAGTAAGATTTTAAAAGGTTACTGATTTCAATTATGACAGAGGAACTGGAACCAAACTTCCTCTCTTGTCATAAATACTAGTCAAAATATAGGGAAAAACTATGTTTAGATATTAAACAATATATAGCTCAAGACCATGACTCCTGACATAAGGGAAACAGACTAGGTGACCCCTGCACTAATCCTGGTTTTCTGGCTAGAAACATCTCTGGACCACAGTGTAGGAGAGGAGTACCCAAGCAGAGCATGGTGATCTTGTTGACTTGCAGAGACAGATGAGTTTTAGGAGGCTGACTGGCTAGAATCTTGGGGGAAGTTACACAGGAGAGGGGCACTTTTAAGAGAAAGAGCTCTAGAAATCAGAGTAATAATTTGCTCGAATCTGTGGGTAAAAACTAATGAGCCTTAGCAAAGAAGAATGGGAGAGCTATAAGGGAAAAATTCCCAGAGCTTCCCCATGGCTAGGAGACATTCAAGTGCAATGATACAAAGATGACATACTTTGAACATTTGTAGTATTCATTAGAGACTCCAAAAGTCATATTGTACTAGTCAGGTTAACCTATCTTCCCAGTAAAGTCTGCTCTAGATCCACTCTAGAAAAGTATAAAATAAATCTCACTAATGGGAAATGCAATGTGCAGCATGAGGGTATAACAATACTGCCTAACCTCATCTGAGTGGTCTAGAAAGACTCCCCTGGGGACATGATTTAAGCTGAAATTTAAATGTTAAGTAAGAGTTAGCAAGTTGAAGGGGTAGGAGGAGAATCAGGTATTCCAGCACGTGCAAAGGCTTGGAGGCAAAGAGGACTCAGATGAATTTAAGAACTGAAAGGACACTGTGCCTAGAACACAGGGAGAGATGGGAAGGTGATCTGTAATGACACCAGGGAGACTGGCAATGGCCATAGAATTTAAGGTCTCAGAAACCATATTGTGCAGTTTATCATTTCACACTGTGCCCTGGATGCTTCTCTTACTCTTCGGGTACTGATGACTCATGCTGATGAATCCAGATAACTTCTTCCAGGAATCACAAATGAGACAACGGAAGAGAGAGACAAGACAAAAGGGATATGGAAGAAAGAAAAAAACACAAAGGTTGTGGGAGCACCTTAGACACAGAGGAAATGCTAAGAAGGAAAAAAATGGCTATGTTCTGCAATTTTAAAACAAAGTAATCTTAATATTAGCTTTTAATTTTTATAATTATATCTCTAACAATAATTAAGAGAAAATTCATTATGACTGAAATGTCAAATAAATGAAGGACAATAAATTTCAGCACAAAAAGTGATCTTTTTGTTCACATGAACTAAACATTTAAGATGGACACAATAGAAAGTCATTAAGTAGAAACTGCACGTTGGTAGTGTCGTCATCAGTGAGTACCAGGGAAGAGATTATAGGTTTTCTGTCTCCAAAATTTTTTCTCTAACAGAAAATGTCACGGTTTGCCAGTGACACAGAACAAATAGAGCTGGGACTTGAGCCTTTCAGTGTAGAAGCCAATTTTATGTTCAACACTTCTGGCACGTTTCTTAGCATTTTATTTTCCTCAGCTGTAAAATTGTGTGAGCAGGGTAGGTGATAGTGGCAAAGAGGTAAGCATGTCCGTTTTGGAGACCTGAGTTTGAGGTGTCTGAAGGGGACTTAGGACTAAGTGAAAAGTCAAACATTGTTTTGGGATAAATTGAAAACAATATTGTAAAGATGTCTTATTTCCCCGGATTATCATAAATTGTTATGAGACCATAAAAAACTATGTTTGAAACTAGACAAGCTAAATTCTAATATTCATATGGAAAAAGGGCTGCTTAGGAATAACCCAAAAAAAGAAGTCTGAGAAAGAAGAATAATGAATATGAATTAACCCTACCAGTTATTAAATGTATTATAAAGCTACAGTAACTTAATAATTTTCATATTGACATAAGATTAGATAGATCTACGGAATAGAATTAGAAATTCAGAAATAGGTTAAATATGATATTGGAATTCAGCATATAATGAAGACAGCATTTCTAATCAGTGGTTACTTATCCAGTATAAGAAATTTAATTCTTGATGGTGGCACCTGCCAGCACCAGTGTCCGAGCACTGGGGACAGCTTCCAGGGATAGCTGCCATCAGTGAATATGTCCCCAGGGTGAGCTACTGCCCACCTACCCCCAACCCTGCCAACTCTCCCTCTCCGGGAGCCTCTCCAAGACCAGCAGGTTACATCTAACACTAAGACGCTGTATAAATACAATCCTCTTCTGCTCCAGAAGTAGAGAAGTGAATATTGATGAATAAAAGTAATAACTGCCACAAGAAAACCTCGCAAGATGAATGCCACCAAGCCTTTTCACGCTGCCCAGAAAGAAGTCCAGATGGCGTTGTTCTGGATTCCCGTAATAACCTAAAGGGAAACTTTCACAGCGCCCTGAGCCCTTGATGTCCTACGAATAAAGAGCAGATGTCCTCAAATTTCCTGCAACAGGAACCTACTTACGTGGCACCAACCTTGATTTCCAAATAGAACAATCATCTACAAAGGAAAAGTGATGGCATTTACCACGTAAATCTGACGAGGACAGAGGAGCGGCTTCTGGCAGCTCGTGCTACCTGGCCGAGGCCAGCGTCACATCTTCCAGGAACACCGGCCAGTGAGCTGTGCTGAACTTCGCTGCTGCCCCTGAGGCCACTCCTACCGCTGGCCGCTTCGTTCCTGGAACCTTCGCTGAGCAGATCCAGGCAGCCTTCCTCCCGGAGCCGAGACTTCTGGTGGCTACTGATCCCAGGGCTGACCACCAGCCTCTCACAGAGGCGTCTTATGTGAACCTGCTCACTGCCGCCCCGTGGGACCCAGACTCTCCTCTGCGCCACGAGGACACTGCCATAGTCCGCAAGCAACAACAAGGCAGCTCGCTTGGTGGGTCTGGAGTGGTGGACGCCGGTCCCGGAAGTTCCGCGCGTGCGCGGACCGTCTCCCAGGAACAGCCCTCGGAGGTCAGCTCGATCTCCGTTTCCACAGAGATGCTGAGGAGACAGACGGAGAAGGAAGAGCAGGCCGCTGCTGCGAAGGCGGTGCCCAAGGAGGAATTTCAGGGTGTTTGGACGGCTCCAGCTATTCCTCCCGAGGTCACGGAGGGGTCTCTGCCCACCCGGCAGTTCCCTGCTGAGGACGGAGCCCCCGCCCGCCATGAGGGCCAGCCTGCAGCCCCGACCGCTCGGGCCACAGAACGGGTAGGAACAACCGCTGAGTGGTTTTAAGCTGTTCTCCCATACACTCTTTTTAAAATTTTAAAATTTATTTTATTTTTAATTAAAATATAATCGATTTACAATGTTGTCTTAGTTTCTGGTGTACGCATAGTGACTCAGCGTACATGTGTTTATATGTGTATGTATATATATATGTTCTTTTTTCATATTCTTTCATTATAGGTTATTGTGAGATATTGAACATAGTTCCCTGTGCTATACAGTAGAACCTTGTTGTTTATCTATTTAATATATAGTAGGTGGTATCTGCAAATCCTAATTTATACCTCGCCACTCCCTTTCCCCCTGGTAACCGTGTTTGTTTTCCATGTCTGTGAGTCTGTTTCTGTTTTGTAAATAAGTTCATTTGTGTTTTTTTTTCAGATTCCACATATAAGCGATATCATATGGTATTTTTCATTCTCTTTATGGTTAATTTCACTTAGTATGATCATCTCTACACCCATCTATGTTGCTTCAAACGGATTTTTTATGGCTGAGTACTATTCCATTGTATATATATACCACATCTTCTTTATCTAGTCATCTGTTGATGGACATTTGGGTTGTTTCCATGTCTTGACTATTGTAAATAGTGCTGCTATGAGCATTGGGGTGCATGTATCTTTTCAAATTAGAGTTTACTCTGGATATATGCCCAGAGATGAGGTTGCTAGATCATATAATAAGTCTATTTCTAATTTTTTAAGGATCTTCTACAGACGCTTAAACACAAAATGGAAATAAGAATGACAGAAGAAAAGTTTCTTTGAAACAAACACACACAAAATAAATTTAATTATTCATTGACTAATGTTTATAGACAAAAAATTGCATCTTTAAAGTATTAGAAGGAATGATAATATAATTATTTTATGATTTGGAAATCAAAATCCAAAAACTGAAAATCTACCCAACAAAGTTAAGTACATCTATATTAATATTATTAGTTAATTTTTTATGATTATAAGTATCAGGAAATACAAATGGGAGAAATATTTGCAACTTATATAAGACTCTAAGAGTTATTTTAAAAATATATACAAAAAATAAAAAACAGAAATAGACCTTATTCAAATCTAAAAAAAATATTAAGAACTCAACAGACTGTTGGACAAAGGATATAAACAAGTTTTGTCCAAATCTAAAGCTCAGGTGGCCCAGTAGACCAGAGTTGTGGGCCAAAAGCCAATGAAAAAATTATTTCAATGGAATCAAATTCTGTCTGAGATCAAGCATTTGGAGGGTTGAGGTGAGGCCACTGGATATTCATTCAGGATGTCATTTTTGATCTTTGACCAAAAAGTTTAGGTGGAATGCTGGGGAGTAGAGGCCAGATTCCAGTGTGCTGATGAGTATAGCAGAGTTATAAAAGTGGAGGCAGCGATGTAGGTGACTGTCAAGAATTTTAGAAGTATCAAGAAGGGAGGAGAAAGCAGGAGCCAAGAGGGAGGCATGGTTACTAGAACGTTTTTGGTTTATTAATTAATTTTTTAGGACAGGAATAATCAAGCATTTTTGCAGATTGAACAGAAGGCATCACTGGAGAAGTTTTAGAAGAAGAATGGATAATTAATGAAGCAAGAATTTGGAGAAGAGAAATAAGAAGACCTTTGGGGTTTAGGTAAAGATTAAGATGGTATAACGGTAAAGCTCCCATCTTAAATTAGAGATGAGCAAATCCATGCTTTAACCTAGAGACACAACTAAATGAGTGCTCCTACTGTGTCCCCACAGCACCCCCTCCCTGTGGGCTCCCCTCTTCCCCCTTTATCACTGTGACTGTTTACAAGCCTGTCTCCCCAGCCCCCTGCTTCCCCTATCCAGGGAGGGCCTGAATGTTGGAGAAGTGAATGAGCATCTCAAGCCCTTAGCCTTAGCCCAGCTTAGGAGACCAAGTTTTATAAGTAATATAAAGTTTTAAAGGCTCTGGGAGGAGTTAATAAAAATGATGCAGTTTGGGAAAATAGAAGCTATGTAATGTAAAAAAAGAAAATTCTAAGAGACAACCCCATCATTCCTCCTCCCCATAACCGACAATGAAATAAGGAGGAAACAAGTGAGAAAAGAAGGAAATAAGTTGAACAGTACATTAGCACTTACTAAAGATAAAGGCTTCAATTGCAGAAAGTTAGTGGATTATTAAAACCATTGCCCTCCATCCCAGCAAGAGGATTTCTGCTTCTTTGGTGGAAGTCTTATAAAGATAATTGTTACCACTCTCCACATGTGATTTTGTGATGTTGGAGTCAGTTTAAAGAAATCTTATGGGTCCTGTTCAATCTTCAGTGGTATAACTGACTTTTTCTGATGAGGAAATAGGCTCTGGAGACATATGAGGGCTGGATATTTGATGACTTACAGTTATCTGTGGAGGTAAATTTGTTTTAATTTTTATTCCTTTTTATTAGTTTTTCTCCTGTCTTGGAGTGAGATGGATGGGGAACCAGAGTTGAGCTGAGCAGGTCTCTTGTATGTTCTGCTGTTTGTGAGTGGGTGCGTGTGTGTGCACGTGTGGCTGTGTGTGCATCAAAGGGACAGGTTTGGTTACCTCTTGCTACTGCATTTCTCACACCATCCATTTACTTTCTGAATTTCAGATACAAGACAGCTGATCAATGTTAAAATATAGAGTTAGCAAAGGTACAATCACAAGAACTATTAGGTCCACTTAAAAGTGAATTATAGTCATAAAAGGCTGACAGGATCCATAGTTGAAAAAGGCAACACGATAAAGAAACATGAGAAATAATAGGGGAAAAGTGGAAAGCCTGAAAATGCACTTAAAAGATGCCAGAATGGCAGCATAATTGGTGAGGGTTATTTGAAAATAACTGCAATCCAGATCAGATCTAATGAAACCTTGGGGGCATCAAGTTCTAAAATGATTGATAAGGTGCCTATTTTTATTACCCATTGAAGAAAAATGCATTATTATAAACAAATAAGATTCCATTAAGTTATAAATAATAATAATGCTTTGCAATGCTTTATTTTATTTTTTGTTAACCGATTTTACCTTTACCTCTAATATCAACATTTTGAAACTTAAAAACTTTTTCCATGTCACTAAGTCCATAATCAAGGCTGAAAGATTTTCTCACACACACAAATCACATACGGTAAGTAATGAACCATTTTAGAAACAGTATGAGTAAAATTTTAAAAACAAAAAAGTACGGAGTTGAACTCAGGAGAGGTAATTTTCAGGTGCCCCTCACCCCCAAAAAGGGAGAGAAATCAAAGCAAAGCAATAAACAGGTGCTGATGCCAACATCCTGGCCTGTGGGATTTGGAACACAAGGGGCCGGAGTTTTATTTCTCATGTGGGGAAAAGATGTTGGACTGGAAAGAAGGTGAGCAGGGAGGGGAGTGAGAACTAATTATTCTCTAAAGGTCACAGTCTCTAAACACAGCCCCTACTCTCTCTTCCTTGTGTCCACCAGAAACCTAGTGTCATTTAGAGTGATTATTCATTATTATGTAAGATAAAGCAGCGACTATTGTTAAATAAATCTTTTTTTTTTCAGAGGAGAGGAAACTAGTTCAGTTACATAGTCTTCACAGCAAGGGTAGGTCTCAATGTAAGGCCATATTTATTCCATGAAAAAAAATGATGAAGTCCTCTCTTCCTTCTTCCCTTCCTCCCTCCTGCTGCCTCTCCTTTCCTTTCTTTTCCTTTCCTTTCCTTCCTTCCTTCCTTCCATTTTTTTCATTTTCTGATTCTTTTTCAGAATAGTATATATTGTATATATCTGATTGAGATAGATAGAACCCAACTTAATTCCTGTGTGGCACAAATTTGAACATAATTTATGATTAAAATCAAATGTGGAGACAGTTATGTTTAATATTTAGCCACTTAAGGTACAGCAGGAGTGGTACCACTAGAGGATAAGAAATCATAAGAGAGGGGTGGGAAGTATATATAGCTCAGTGGTAGAGCATGTGCCTAGCATGTATGAGGTTCAGGGTTCAACCCCTAGTACCTCCATTAAAAAAAAGAAATCAGAAGGAAATTAATATTGAAAACTTATACAGGACTTAAGAAAACCCTGGTAGAGCAAATCAGGAGTATTTCTGGAAAACTGGCTAGATTTGTGGATGGTTCTATTGTGGTACAGTCAGATGACACTGCAGTGATGGTCACAGTGATCAGTGAAACAAAATCTTCCCACTCTCTGTTCATGCCTTTGGTGGTTGACAATAGACAAAAAGCTACTGCAGCAGGTGGAATTCCTACATACTCTCATAGAAGAGGTGTTGGTTTCTCTGATAAAGAAATGGTTACACACTAATCATCAGGAAAATTCAAATCAAAACCAGGAGATATCACCTCACACTTGTTAGAATGGCCATCATCGTGAAGACAAGACAACAGGTGCTGGCAAGGATGTGGTGAAAAAGGAACCTTTATACCATGTTAGTGGGAATATAAATTAGTCCAACCACTTCAGAAAACAATATAGAGGTTCCTCGAAACATTAAAAATAAATCTATTATAGCAGAGTTTCCACTTCTGGGTATATACCTGAAAGAAATGAAAATAGGATTTTGATGGGATATATGCACATCCATGTTTATCAAATCATCATTCACAATAGCCAAGATATGAAAACAACCCAAATGTCCATTAATGGATGAGTGGATTAAAAAATGTAGTACTTACACAGAATGGAATATTATTCAGCCATGAGGGAAAAAAAGATATCCTTCCATTTGTGACAACATAGATGGAACTTGAGCACATTATGCTAAATGAGATAAGTCAGACAGAAAAAGACAAGTACTGTATGATATCACTTACATGTGGCATCTAAAAAAGTGAAGCCTGTAAAACAGTGGTTACTAGAGGAAGGGGATGGGGGGAAACAGAGTGATAGTGTTTAAGGGCATAAATTTGTAACAAATAGCAAATAAGCCATACAGATCAGTATAAAGATATGGACAATAATATTGTATTATAGAAAAAAGGAGAAA